GTGGCTCAGCGGCAGAGCATCTGGTCGCCATGCAGAAGGTCCCGGGTCCAGTCCCTGGCGTCTCCAGTTGAAAGAACCAGGCAGTAGGTGATGTGAAAGACCTCAGCCTGAGACCCTGGGGAGCCATGAAGTGGGCCGTGGCTCAGCGGCAGAGCATCTGCTCGCCACGCAGAAGGTCCCAGGTCCAGTCCCTGCTGTCTCAAGGACCAGGCAGGAGGTGATGGGAAAGACCTCAGCCTGAGACCCTGGGGAGACATGAAGTGGGGCCGTGGCTCAGCGGCAGACCATCTGCTCGCCACGCAGAAGGTCCCAGGTTCAGTCCCTGGCGTCTCCAGTTGAAAGAACCAGGCAGGAGGTGATGGGAAAGACCTCAGCCTGAGACCCTGGGGAGACATGAAGTGGGGCCGTGGCTCAGCGGCAGAGCATCTGCTCGCCATGCAGAAGGTCCCGGGTTCAGTCCCTGGCGTCTCCAGTTAAAAGAACCAGGCAGGAGGTGATGGGAAAGACCTCAGCCTGAGACCCTGGGGAGACATGAAGTGGGGCCGTGGCTCAGCGGCAGAGCATCTGCTCGCCATGCAGAAGGTCCCAGGTTCAGTCCCTGGCGTCTCCAGTTGAAAGAACCAGGCAGTAAGTGATGTGAAAGACCTCAGCCTGAGACCCTGGGGAGCCATGAAGTGGGGCCGTGGCTCAGCGGCAGAGCATCTGCTCGGCATGCAGAAGGCCCCAGGTTCATCTGCTGCCTGGAGAGAGCAGACAATCCTGACTTTGATGGATCACTTTTCTTGTAAGGGCCCCGCCACCCTCCTCCAGCCAAACCCCCCTTGGTCAGTGCGATCCCCCTCTTATTTTAGACTTGTCTTAACAGGGACCCCCTTTTAGATCCTAAGGGCCAGGGGATCTGGAACTTGGGGAGTCTCACTAAGGTATCTGGGTGCAGCCGCGAAGGGCCAGGAAGGAGGCAGGGTGTGCTGGCATTACAGACTGACGACGTGCCGTGTCCCCCAGCTCAGGGTTCTCGATAACAATAAGAGTTCACTTCATTCTCAGTAACAAAAGACTTCTCGATACTGGAATAGCCGGGTGTATCACAGAGGTGTCCGCCCAGCCCAGGGAAGCTGCTATTTCATTATCCAGCGCCCGGTTCGTCAGTAGGTGATGGGAAAGGCCTCTGCCTGAGACCCTGGAGAGCGGCTGCCAGTCTGAGTAGAGAAGACCGGCCTTGATGGACCGAGGATCTGATTCAGGAGAAGGCAGCTTCATGTGGATACATGTGTGCTTATCGCTCATAGCTATTACATCACACAAGATAACTGAAACAAGATGGAGATGATAGCTTGATGAACAATGGCGTTAGGTAAGAAAGGGACTAATTTAATAAGCTTAGGGAATCCTGGTCCGGCGTGGCTTCATATGCCTGAGACTAGAGCACGGCTCAGAGGTTAAGATTCTGAGTTGCAGACCAGAAGGTCTGTAGTTCGGCTGTTCGAGACCCGAGTGTGCCGCGTGACGGAGTGAGCTCCCGTCTCTAGTTCCAGCTCCTGCCAACCTAGCCGTTCGAAAGCAAGAAATGGCAAGCAGATAAATAGGGACCACTTCGGTGGGAAGGTAACAGCGTTCCGTGTGCCTCGGCGTCTAGTCATGCCGCCCACATGACCACGGAGAAGTCTTCGGACAGCGCTGGCTCTTCGGCTTGGAAACGGAGATGAGCACCGCAACCCTAGAGGCGGATTCGGCTGGCTTTTGAGCAAGGGAAACCTTTGCCTTTACTAGGGCATGAGAGACAACCTCCTGAGCAGCAGATTCTCTCTGCACGTCAAGTACTGATGAGATCCATTTTCCTCTTCCCGCTGCTTCACACTGAACATTGGCATCATGCCATAGCCAGCGGTGCCTTCCCCCAGACTTCCGCCACATCTGCTCTGCACAAAGTTCTCGCCAACACTCAAGATTGCGGCAAACTTCGTTAAAAATGAAAATTGGCCGCTCAAAACATGCCAATTATTTGACCAGCGTGAAACGGGTAATCAGAGGGAAATAATTATTAATTTCTCAACATACCGGAACACTCTACAATAGGCCCATGGGGGTATGGTTCACACATAATGAAACCGTGATTTGTCGTCATGGGGACGAGTCTTCAAAACCCTCCCCACCGTCCTCTCCCTAGCATGCCCAGTTGATCAATCAGTTATATTAGCATCTGGGATAAAAGCGTCTGAACCACAGGCTACGGCTTACTCTCTTGCCTCCGAGAGAACTTGGAAGGGAGGGAAGAAGAGACAGTTTGTGCTTCACGGGAAATTATAAATTGCAGCTTGCCACAGAGCCGAAATTGTTTCTGAACCGTACACAAAAGGCAGGAGTGCAGAAACCTGAGGATTTCCAAGACTTGATCTCAGAACAAATAGCCATGGCACAAGTTCAAGAGGAGAAAAGAAATGGGTAATTACAGAACTTTAAGGCTGACGCCGAAGAATAGATTCTTTCGAACTATGGTGCTGGAGAAGACTCTTGAGAGTCCCTTGGACTGCAAGGAGATCCAATCAGTCGATCCTAAAAGAGATCAACCCTGACTGTTCCCTGGAAGGCCAGATAATGAAACTGAAGCTCAAATACTTTGGCCACCCAATGAGAAGGGAGCACTGACTGGAGAAGACCCTGATGCTGGGAAAGACTGAAGGTCAAAGAAGACGGGGACGGCAAAGGATGAGATGGTTAGACAGTGTCACAGATGCAACGAACATGAAGTTGAGCCAACTTCAGAGGACGGCGGAAGACCGGAAGGCCTGGCGGGAGCTGGTCCATGGGGTCGCGAAGAGTCGGACTCGACTGTGCGACTGAACAACAACAAAGGCTGACAATCAAGAAACTGAAATTCTTTCAAGATCTTCTATTCTTTGGCTCCATCATCAACCGAAAGGGAGACTGCAGTCAAGAAATCAGGAGACGGAGACTGGGAAGGGCAGCCATAAAGGAGCCAGAGAAAATCCTTAAATGCAAGGACGTCTCACCAGTGTTCCCTCTAAGCTGAATTAGTGTGAGCCAGCTCACAGTTTTCTAGCCTCCGGCGCACACATTTTTCATCTTAGCTCAGGAAGAGATGGCTCCCGAGCAAACTAATTTATGCAGTCACCAAACGGCTCGCTCACAACTTTAATGCCAGCAGCTCACAAAGTAGAATTTTTGCTCACAGGACTCCACAGCTTAGAGGGAGCATTGCTGGTGACAAAGGCCGACTTAATTTGTGCCATAGTGTTCCCCCTTATTATGTACGAGAGTGAAAGTTGGTCAATGAGGAAAGCTGACCGGATGAAAATTGATTCCTTTGGAATGTGGTGTTGGAGGAGAGTTTTAGGGATACCGTGGACATCCAAAAAGACGAGTCAGTGGTTTCTAGATCAATCAAGCCTGAACTCTCCCTAGAAGCTAAAATGACTAACCTGAGACCAGGGCCGGCTCACTCACTAGGCGGACTAGGCGATCGCCTAGAGCGGGCCGGCCCTTAGGGGCACCAAACTGCACCAGGTCCCGTACTCTGGGAGTTTCTTGATTATTTGTGTTTTTCATTCTTCCTAAAATGCATTTATTTTTGAAAATTGGTGGGCGCACCGGTGGGGGTGGGGTGCAAGAAGGGATCCCCGCCTAGGGTGCAAAATAAGCTGGGGCCGGCCCTGCCTGAGACTATCGTACCTTATTGTACAGCAATAAGAACAGCTCTGGGAAAAAACTATGAAGAACGTGCACCCAAAGCCTGATTTACCTTTACAGCAGCGCACCAATCAGAAGGAAGAGTAAATTGACATGACACTTATTATTGTGGGATATATTGATACGGAAGATTGAGATGAAGTCTACAATCCAACTGATAGGACTTACAAAACGTATTCAAAAACAGACAAGCTGACTGAAGGACCGAATATGAGACCCCACGAAAGAAGGACAAGAGATGGAATTATTGAACCAACAAATGAAACACTTCTTGATTTTTAACTGCTGAATTATATATTTTGATAATGACTGTAGGGTCTTATCATTTTTAAATTTGTACATCGCCTCTAACCCGACACCTGTGTGGATTTTTTGTTGTTCATTCGCACAGTCGAGTCCGACTCTTCGCGACCCCACGGACCAGATCCCGCCAGGCCTTCCGGTCTTCCACTGTCCTCTGAAGTTTGCTCAGTTTCATGTTCGTTGCATCGATGACACTGTCCAACCATCTCATCCTTTGCCGTCCCCGTCTTCTTTGACCTTCAATCTTTCCCAGCATCAGGGTCTTCTCCAGTGAGTGCTCGCTTCTCATTGAGTGGCCAAAGTATTTAAAAAATGTAAATAAATAAATCATACTTCTCACATTGTGAGAAGATAGGAGTCACTGGGAAAGTCAATCTGAAGCAGAATGAAGCAGGAATAAATCAATGGTGCGACCTCGTTTGGAGGACTGTGTACAGTTCTGGTCACCACACCAAAGAAAGGATATTTATAGCATTGGGAAAAGGGCAGAAAAGGGCAGCTAGAACGATAAAAGGGTCGGAACACTCTCCCTATGAAAAAACGTTAAAGCGCTCGGGGCTCTTTAGCTTGGAGAAACGATGACTGAGGGTGACATGATCGAGGTCTACAAGATTCTACGTGGGACAGAGCAGGTCGAGAAAGAAGTCATTCTCTCCCTTTCTCACAAGACAAGAACTCGTGGGCACTCCATGAAATTGCTGAGCGGTCAGGTTAGAACAGATAAAAGGAAGTACTTCTTCACCCAGATTAACACAGTATACAAGAATAGAGAATTATGTGGATTAGGCATTGGCATAAATGTTTGTTAAAAATGGTAAATAACCCCCATGTATGTGTATATGCTAGTATGTTTATTTTGTGTTTGTTTGTGTAAAATATGTGAAAAACTTTAAATAAAATTCCTGCCTCTTAGGGGGCAGTTAAAAAAAAAACCACACACATGGAATTCACTGCCACAGGAGGTGGTGGCAGCCACAAGCATGGATGGCTTCAAGAGGGAACTGGATAAGCATATGGACCAGAGGTCCATCCGCGGCTATTAGCCACAAGGCATAGGTAGGAACTCTCAGTCTGGGGCAAGGGATGCACTGTATTCTTGGTGCTTGTGGATGGGCCATTGGCCTGATCCAACATTGGGTTCTCTCTTATGTTCTTATGTCTGGGGCAGGTGATGCTCTGTATTATTGGTGCTTGGGGGGGGGGGTCCAACAATGGGAGGGCTTCTAGTGTCCTGGCCCTCCTGACGGCACCTGGTTTTTTTGGCCACTGTGTGACAGAGTGTTGGAGTGGATGGGCCACTGGCCTGATCCAACATGGCTTCTCTCTTATGTTCTTATGTCTGGGGCAATTATGCTCTTCATGGTGTTCAGGGGGAGGGGGGGAATCAACAGTGGGAGGGCTTCTAGTGCCCTGGCCCCACTGGTGGACCGCCTGATGGCACCTGGTAATTTTGGCCACTATGTGACAGAGTGTTGGACTGGATGGGCCACTGGCCTGATCCAACATGGCTTCTCATGTTCTTCTGTCTGGGGCAATGATGCTCTTCTTGGAGCTTGGGGGGGGGTCACAGTGGGAGGGGCTCCTAGTGTCCTGGCCCCACTGCTGGACCTCCTGATGGCACCTGGTATTTTTGGCCACTGTGTGACACAAAGTGTTGGACTGGATGGGTCACTGGCCTGATCCCACACTGGCTTCTCTCATGTTCTCTTATGTTCTTATGACCCGGGACTTCCTGGGTGGCTCTCCCATCCAAGGACTAACCAGAGCCCACCCTGCTTCGGCTTCCGAGACTGGGCTAGCCGGGGCCATCTAGGGCAGGGCAGAGATGAGCAGAGGTGCTTTGCCCTCGCCTGCCTTTGTGCAGCCACCCCGGACTCCCGCGGCGGTCTCCCACCCAAGTCCTAACCAGGGCCGACCCTGCTTAGCTTCCGAGATCTGCCGACATCAAGCTAGCCTGGGCCATCCAGGTGGGGGCAGTAGCGCCTTAGGAGACCAGTGAGTTTTTTGGAGGGTACACGTTTTCGGGAGCCGCCGCTCCCTTCAGGCTCTTGAACGCTCGTACCCAACAACGCTTGTCGGTCTCGAAGGCGGTACCGGATTCGAATCTGGCCGTTCTCCTGCAGACCAATACGGAATCCCCCTCTCAACTGAGAAACTGTGACTGTGCCTTTTACACGTGCCCTCAGCAGCCAAACCAGATAAGATCCCACCAACTTGCCCGTTAATACATATCCTGGATGGCCCAGGCTCTCTTGCCAGAACTCAGAAGCTCATTAGGGTCGGCCCTGGTTAGTGCTTGGGTGGGATTGCTCCACAGAGGCGGGCGATGGCCGACCACCTCTGGAGGTCTCTTATATTTATTTATTTATAGATTTGATTTATACCCCGCCCTCCCCGCTGCACGGGCTCAGGGCGGCTTACAATCAGGCATAGGCCAGTAACAAATGTAAAACATTTTTAAAACCATTTAAAATCTCTACAATACAATAGCATTATTGTTAACAAAAGGGCTCTGATCTTCTACAAGATGGCATATTGCGACTGCTCTGCCAACTCAGCGTCGTCTGTTCCGGGAAACACTGGTGTTCTCTCTTCAAGGGCCAGGTTATGATGGTAATTCTGGTAGTGGCGGCTCCTACTCATACGCCTGGCGGAAGAGCTCCGTCTTACAGGCCCTGCGGAACTGTGCAAGGTCCCGCAGGGCCCGGATCTCTTCCGGGAGCTCGTTCCACCAGGTAGGAGCCGCCACCGAAAAAGCCCTGGCCCTGGTAGCGGCCAGCCTGACCTCGTTGGGGCCTGGCATCGCCAGGAGGTTTTGGGTCCCCGACCGTAGTGCTCGCGGGGGAACATATGGGGAAAGGCGGTCCCTTAGGTACGCTGGACCCAGACCACATAGGGCTTTAAAGCCTTGGAAACCCAACAAGTTAAAAGAGAACAAGGACGTCTCTTCCTCTGGCCCTCGGCAAGGTGGCGGCGGAACAGCAGCACCGGTTACGGCGCTCCGCAAGTGATTTCATTTTCTTGGTTTTTAGCTTGCCTCAAAGCCTTCCGCTTAGTTGTCTGCACAATATAATTGCTTCTCCAATCTGAGGTTTGAAGCAGCTGCTGTTTTAAAGGAATTGGCTTCTTGTAATCAGCCTCAAATTGCTAAAAAGTTACTGTCGCTGAGATATGCCTGGAACGCTGAGTCATTAAGGCTGCTGCCAACTTCGGCCACAAACAATCAGTGGCATAAACTTCGTAAGAGTCCACTACTTACTTCAGCCTTGCAAATAACAGGTAAAGGCAAAGGTTTCCCTTGCTCGAAAGCCAGTCGAATCCGACTCTAGGGTTGCGGTGCTCATCTCCGTTTCCAAGTCGAAGAGCCAGCACTGTCCAGAGACGTTTCCGTGGTCATGGGGCCGGCACGACTAGATGCCGAGGCACACGGAACGCTGTTACCGTCCCATCGAAGTGGTACCTATTTATCTACTTGCAATTTCTTGCTTTCGAACTGCTAGGTTTGGTGTGGTGGTTAAGGGCGCGGACTCTAATCTGGGAGAACCAGGTTTGATTCCCCATTCCTCCACTTGCACCTGGCTGGATGACTTTGGGCAAGCCGTAGTTCTGACAAGTGCTGTTCTTGAAAAAGAGCCATTTCTCTCAAGAGGTCTCTCAGCCCCACCTACCTCACAGGGTGTCTGTTGTGGGGAGGGGGAGGGAAAGGAGTTTGTAAGGTGCTCTGAGACTCCTTTGGGTAGTGAAGGGCGGGGGATAAATCCAATCTCTTCTTCTTCTTCTTCTAGGTCAGCAGGAGCTGGGGCCAGAGACGGGAGCTCACTCCACCACACGGCACTCGGGTCTTGAACTGCCGAACTACCGACCTTCCGGTCTGCAGCTCAGCACCTTAACCACTTGAGCCACCGCAACCTCCTTTGCATATAGTACAGGCTTGTTAATAAAGAGGCTGTGGGTTGATGGAGGAAATTCTGCGAACCTTGGGGGTTACTCTTTTAAATAGCAGTTGCTGACCAGGGCATAAGGCTACAGTGCAGCTGCAACAACAGGAATCAGAAATGAGTCCAAATAAAAGGATACTTGATTTAGAAGACACGATGACACCAATGTTCCCTCTAAGCTGTGGAGTCTTGTGAGCAAAAATCCTACTTTGTGAGCTACTGGCATTAAAGTTGTGAGCGAATGATTTGGCCACTACATAAATTAGTTTGCTCTGGAGCCATTCTTCCTGAGTTAAGGCAAAAATGTGTGCGCTGGAGGCTAAAGAACAGTGAGCTAGCTCACACTAACTCAGCTTAGAGGGAACATTGGACGACACCTCCTGCTAGTCAGCAGAAAAGAGTTTTGGAATATTTTGGCACCCAGGAAGAGACTCGCTTTAATCTTCCTACTGCAAACCGCTATGCTCCTTTGGCAGAAATAGAGAACTCTGATGAAACGACTGTGGTGGGAACTGATACCTCGCTACAGGGAGAAACAGCTACAGAAAGAGTGGGTAATAATTCCTCCTGCCCTCCTTAGCCTGGCGGTCCTTCTCCCCCTTCTGGTCTCCTCGCCTGCCGGGTCTCTCTTGTGCTGTGGGCGGGGCCTGTGAGGTCACAGAGAGCCTGTGAGGTCAGGGAGGGTCACTGGCCTAGTGGCCCCGGGTTTCTTTTTAAGAAGCACTGCCTGGGCAACTTGGAGCCACCCTGAACTGGATGGCCCAGTCTCAACAGAGCTCAGAAGCTAAGCGGGGTCGGCCAAGGTCAGCACTTGGGTGGGAGACCACCAAGGAAGTCCAGGGTGGCTATGCAGAGGCAGGCGACGGCAGACCACCCCTGAACCTCTCTTGAGACGTCAAAAAAAAAAAGAAAAAGGAGGAAGTCACCCTGCAAGGCGGCCTAGAATTTGGATGTTACCTTTTGGGGCGTTTCGGTTGTTCTTTCCGATACGGAGTCGTCTTCCAGAAGCTTGCCGTGGCTAGAAGAGGGCATCTGCGGTAGTGAAGACTGCTTGGGGGGCCTCTCGGATGTGTGACTGGGCACGGAGTCTCCACCGTTCCGCCTGCACGTTAACAAACCTCTTCGTGTTAAAGGCGTTGCGAACAGGGGTCATTTCCTGCAGGAGCGCACGGGAGTGGAGCTCCGGCAGTAAAGAGCTCAGGGGGCGGGCGCATGAAACAAGCCCCACCCCCTACTCCCAGCAGCACTCAGTCAGACCAAGAAACAGCCAGGTAAGTTGCAGAGGCACCCCCCCCCCCAGGCCCCTGGTCAAAAACAGTCCAGAGGGACTTTTAAGACCAAGTTTTATTCAGGCACAAGCTCACCCTCCTCTGCGAGGACAGATCTGCACGTTCTCCCCTCCCCCAATAGCTAGCAATCCAAAACAGTCCACTGGAGCCTGAGCGGTGGGTGTTGCCTTCTGACACACTTCCGGTGATGTCAGGGGGTGTGGCATATGCAAATAAGTTATGCTAATGAGCTATGCTAATGAGCTCCTGCACCTCTTTTTCTGCGAAATGACCCCTGGTCATGAAGATGCCTCCACGAAGCCAAAGCCAGCTAAAATGCAACGCTTCTAAATCAAAGAATACACAACCAGTGTTCCCTCTAAGCTGAGTGAGTGTGAGCTAGCTCACAGGGTTTTTTAGCCTCTGGCTCACATACTATTTGCCTCAGCTAAAGAAGGAGGGCTCCAGAGCAAACTAATTGATGCAGCAGCCAGATCGCTCGCTCAGAACTTTAATGCCAGGAGCTTACAAAGAAGAATTTTTGCTCACAAGACTCCACAGCTTAGAAGGAGCGTTGCGCACAACCCAGCCTGAGTTTAATATATTTTTAACCGGCTGATTTCGGCAAGAGAGTTAACTGCGTGTTTAATTTTCTCCCATTAAAGGCAACGGGCCTTGAGAACGTCTGACTCTGAAAGGGCCTTAATAGTCTGGTTTAGCAAACTGAACACAGCAAGACCCACGACATCTACAGCCCACGGAACATTTACTACATCAGGGGGTCCCCCATCTTCTTGAGCCTCTGGGCACCTTCGGGATTTTGACACCAGGCGGTGGGCACAGTGACAAAATGGCTGCCGTAGGAGGAGGACTGCAAGGAGATCCAATCAGTCAATCCTAAAGGAAATCAACCCTGACTGTTCCCTGGAGGGCCAGATCCTGAAGCTGAAGCTCAGATACTTTGGCCACCCAATGAGAAGGGAGCCCTCACCGGAGAAGACCCTGGTGGTTGGAAAAGATTGAAGGCCAAAGAAGAAGGGGACGGCAAAGGATGAGATGGCTAGACAGTGTCATCGATGCAGCAAACATGAAATTAAGCAAACTCTGGAGGATGGCGGAAGACAGGAGGGCCTGGTGTGATGTGGTCCATGGGGTCGCGAAGTGTCGGACTCGACTGTGCGACTGAACAACAACAACAACAGGAGGAGGAGGAGGTAAAGGTAAAGGTTCCCTTGCTCGAAAGCCAGTCGAGTCCGACTCTAGGGTTACGGTGCTCATCTCCATTTCAAAGCCGAAGAGCCAGCGCTGTCCAAAGACGTTTCCGTGGTCATGTGGCCGGCATGACTAAACACCAAGGCGCACGGAACGCTGTTACCTTCCCACCGAAGCAGTACCTTGCAATTTCTACTTGCAATTTCTTGCTTTCGAACTGCTAGGTTGGCAGGAGCTGGAACTAGAGACGGGAGCTCACTCCGTCATGCGGCACACTCGGGTCTCGAACTGCTGAACTACCCACCTTCCACAGCCTGCAGTACAGCATCTTAACCACTTGAGCCACCGCAGCTCCTTTTGGAGGAGGAGGAGCCAACCACAAAATGCCATAGATGGCAGAGCCAGCCACAAAATATCAGGGAATGAAGTTGTGCGCAGGTCTCGTAGTCGCTCTTCAACCAGTTCGGGCAGCAGCTCTGCTTAACAGTATGCCTTTTGATCTGCACGACCAATCGGAAGCCCTGCTCGGCCCTGTAGCCAGAAATCTTCTGCTGATGGGGCAGGGTCCAGGGTGCTGGGGCAGGGGGTGGGGGTAGCAAAGCTTTAAGGGCTGTTCCTCTGTGAAGCAAAAAAAGCCCCACCTGGCCCGATCCACTTTCTAAAAACACTTGGTGGGTGCCGGAAATAGTCTTGGCAGGTGCCCTGACTAGAGATGTGAAGGCCCGGGAAAAAACTGGAAAAATTCGGGGAAAAAACGGTTTTTTCCCGGTTTTTCCCTGAAGCTTTTTTTGTTTTTTTTCCGAAAAATTGGAAAAATTGAAAGAAGAAAAGAAAAAAAATTGATTATGGAACGTTTTATTTTAACACGATGAATAAAATATTTTAAGACAAGGTGTTCAAATATTTTCCCAATCATTTCTAAAATATATATATATGGTATCAGATTGATGTAATTTCTGTGCAGTGAGGACAAGCAAGTCCTAGGTTACAAACTGAACTCTCCAATGCAAGAACAAGATGCATTTCTTCCTTTAGCAGGTGCTATTGTCACGAGAAAAGAAAAAGGTTTCAGTTTTGTTTTTGCATGTGGGTGGGTATTCTGTTTGTAATAACTGTTTGGATACACTATATTTTAATATGCTAGTTGTGATCATTTCATGCCAAGTAAAAATGTCCATAGTCATATTTTATGTTCCTAAAGTAACGGAATGACTTTCAATCTAGAAAAGACAAAAGAAGTGCTAATGTAGCATTTTTTTCAATTTTTCCATTTCCCCCCCAAAAAAACTGGAAAAAAACCGGGGTTTTTTCCGAGCTTCAAAATTTCCGGAAATTTTACATCTCTAGCCCTGACGCCCATGGGCACCCCATTGGGGACCCTGTGTTACGTATTCAAAAGGGTTAAGCTGCCACAGTGGCTATCAACACTGATGTATCTCTGTATCAGGGGCCACTTTGGCGTCAGGAAGCAATCCTGGAGGGGTTTTTTTTGGTCATCTTCTGGGCGTGGGGCAGCGTTCGATGCGGGTGTGGAGGGGGAAATTTGTGAATTTCCTGCATTGTGCAGGGGGTTGGGGTAGACGGCCCTGGATTCTCTATGATTCTTCCAACTCTATGATATTCCTCCTTTGTCACAGTGGCTGGCAATATTTTCACTACGTCCTGAAACAGCCGCGGATACTTAAATTGCAGCATCCAGCCAACAACCATATAATTAGTTTGCGTCGCTCTCCTTCTCTCTCTCAAACACTAAGGACCAAACTACACCATATGGTGTGTGTTTTTTTTCAAACTAGTCAGGCCTAGGGACTCGCTTTCCCCACAGCCATGGGGAACATAAGAACATAAGAGAGGCCAAAGTTGGATAAGGCCAAAGGCCCATCCAGTCCAACACTCTGTGTCATACAGTGGCCAGAAATACCAGGTGCCATCAGGAGGTCCACCAGTGGGGCCAGGACATTAGAAGCCCTCCCACTGTTGACACACACCCCCAAGCACCAAGAATACAGCGCATCACTTGCCCCAGAGTCCCTATCTATACCTTGTGGCTAATAGCCACTGATGGACCTCTGCTCCATATGCCTATCTAACTCCCTTTTGAAGCTGTCCATGCTTGTAGCCGCCGCCACTTCCTGTGGCAGTGAATTCCATGTGTTAATCACTCTTTGGGTGAAGAAGGACTTCCTTTTATCCGTTCTAACCCGACCGCTCAGCAATTTCATGGAGTGCCCACGAGTTCTTGTATTGTGAGAAAGGGAGAAAAGTACCTCTTTCTTTACCTGCTCTTTCCCATGCATAATCTTATAAACCTCGATCATGTCACCCCTCAGTCGTCTTTTCTCCAAGCTAAAGAGCCCTAAGCGCCTTAACCTTTCCTCAGAGGGAAAGTGTTCCAACCCTTTTATCATTCGAGTTGCCCTTTTCTGCACTTTTCCCAAAGCTATAATATCCTTTTTAAGGTGTGGTGACCAGAACTGCACACAGTATTCCAAATGCGGTCTCACCATTGATTTATATAGAGGCATTATGATATTGGCTGATCTGTTTTCAATACCCTTCCTAATAATCCCCAGCATAGCATTGACCTTCTTTATTGCAGTCACACACTGTCTTGACATTTTCAGTGAGTTATCTACTACAACTCCAAGATCTCTCTCTTGAACAGTCTCTGCCAGTTCAGATCCCATCAATGTGTATTTATATTTAGGATTTTTGGCTCCAATGTGCATCACCTTGCACTTGGCGTGCCCCTGCAGTCCCAAGCCAAATTTGTCCCCTCGGCCTTTTTAAATGATGTTCCCCACAGCTGCTGTGTGGCTGTGGGGAAAGCCAGTCATTAAAAAAAGTATTGTCTCAAAGCAATTTTGTTAAAAGAGAATGTATTAAAGATGTTCCACAGATGGCATCTTTCTCCGAGTAGACTAGCGCACTTTTACCCGAACACGTCCAACAAATGTTGGAAGTGTAAAAAAAAAGGTGGGTTCTTTCTACCACATGTGGTGGTCATGCGATAGGTCTAAAAAATATTGGATTGAGATACATAATATTTCAAAACAAATTTTCGGTGTCCAGATTCCACTAGACCCTGAAATATTTTTATTAAATATATTTCCAGATAACCTACAAACATGGGATAAATATTTGATGGTACATATTGTGACTGCTGCGAGAATTAATTTTGCTAAAAGCTGGAAGAAAGAGGAGGTACCGTCTAAACAAGATATTTATGAAAAACTAGAGACAGCTAAATTAGATAATCTTTCACTGAAAATACAAGGTAAAGATGAAACTATTTTTCAAAATACGTGGTTGCGGGTTTATGACTCGATGGGAGAAAATCCAAAAGTGTGTGATAACATTATGAGCTTGTATCTAAATATGGTATTCCATATTTATTCCCAGTAAGGCAATGGTATTCCCAGTAGCCATGTATGGCTGCGAGAGTTGGACTATAAGGAAGGCAGAGCGCCGAAGAATAGATTCTTTTGAACTATGGTGCTGGAGAAGACTCTTGAGAGTCCCTTGGACTGCAAGGAGATCAAATCAGTCGATCCTAAAAGAAATCAACCCTGACTGTTCCCTGGAAGGCCAGATAATGAAACTGAAGCTCAAATACTTTGGCCGCCAAATGAGAAGGGAGCACTCACTGGAGAAGACCCTGATGCCGGGAAAGATTGAAAAGACGGGGACGGCAAAGGATGAGATGGTTAGACAGTGTCACAGATGCAACGAACATGAAATTGAGCAAACGTCAGAGGACGGCGGAAGACCGGAGGGCCTGGCGGGATCTGGTCCATGGGGTCGCGAAGAGTCGGACTCGAATGTGCTACTGAACAACAAATCTAAATATGAAAACTTAATATATTAAGGTGGGGTTTTTAATGTTAAGGTGGTAGAGGGATGGATGCCTACGTATGTGTGATGTTGTTTACTGTCTGAAATGTAATACAGATTGGGGGGGGGAGTATTGTTAATTCATCTCTAAGACAATTATTTCTCTCTTTTTCCTCATTGTATGTGTCCACACACTTACATGCCTTCTGGCGACCCCTAGTGGGGCTAGGACGTTTCAGAGAGGTGGCATACTATTGCCTGCCTCTGCATCCCAGCCCTGGTATTCCTTGGAGGTCTCCCTTCCAAGTACTTGACAGGGTCGGCCCCTGCTTAACTTCAGAGATCTGAGTCCAATTCTCCCTCTAAACTGTGGAGTCTTGTGAGCAAAAATTCCACTTTGTGAGCTACTGGGAATTAAAGCTGTGAGCGAGCGATTTGGCTGTTGCATAAATTGGGTTTGCTCTGGAGCCCGTCCTTCCTGAGCTAAGACAGGGCCTGCAAGACGGAGATCTTCCGCCAGGCTTTCGCATAGGGGCCGCCGCTGCCACCACCTCCACCAATGGTGGCAATACCATCGGGATTAGGAATCGCCCTTGGAAGTTCCGCCATAAATTGCATGGCACTGACAATGTGGGATTGGCTCGAACTATCTGCTGGACAGTGCCACCCCAATGGGGGGGATTGAGGACGCCATCAAAACCACTCAAGACCGCCTTGTTTACAGAAAGCACTTTATTCTTGTTATTATTATTAGTATTCATGATTTTACTGTTTTATTTGGTTTTATGTAAGCTGCCCTGAGCCCGCTCGCGGGGAGGGCGGGGTAAAAATGCCTGAATAAATAAATAAAAATCTGTGAGCTGGAGGCTAAAACACTGTGAGCTAGCTCACACTCACTCAGCTTAGAGGGAACACTGGATCTAATGAGATCAGGCTTGCCTGGGCTATCCAGGTCAGGGCCCAAAGACAATTATCTCAAGAGAAAGGAGCTGGGCATCTTAAGAACCCCACATTATTAAGATCACAAGACCTCTTTTCACCATTTTTGAACACAACCAATTTACATATCAGATCCTCTTTAAAGAGACAGAGAGAAACTCTGAGGCCATTTAATGAGTCTGTGGCAGAGGCAACGTTGAATCGGGGATCGCCTCTATCATAGCTTGTTCTCTTCGCTACCGCGCCGTCCCAGCGTTATACATGTGTTCCCACAACATTCAATTAGCCATCAGTTCTTAAAATATAGTGGAATGGGAAACAGAACAGTAGAGACAGAAAACAAAGCAATGTGCCTTTCATTCAATGCCGGGTGTCACTTAATATATGCTGAAAGAAATCTTTACGGCCTGTTGTTGTACAGTCACACAGTCGAGTCCGACTCTTCGCGACCCCATGGACCAGATCACGCCAGGCCTTCCTGTCTTCCGCCGTCCTCTGAAGTTGGCTCAATTTCATGTTCGTTGCATCTATGACACTGCCTAACCATCTCATCCTTTGCCGTCCCCGTCTTCTTTGACCTTCAATCTTTCCCAGCATCAGGGTCTTCTTCTCCAGTGAGTGCTCCCTTCTCATTGGGTAGCCAAAGTATTTGAGCTTCAGTTTCATTATCTGGCCTTCCAGGGAACAGTCAGGGTTGATTTCTTTGAGGATTGACTGATATGATCTTCTTGCAGTCCAAGGGACTCTCAAGAGTCTTCTCCAGCACCATAGTTCAAAAGAATCTATTCTTCGGCGCTCGGCCTTCCTTATAGTCCAACTCTCGCAGCCATACATGACTACTGGGAATACCATTGCTTTGACCATGCGGACTTTTGTTGGCAGGGTGATGTCTCTACTTTTCATCATGCTGTTGAGGTTTGCCATCGCTTTCCTCCCAAGGAGCAGGCGTCTTTTAATTTCATGGCTGCTGTCACAGTCTGTGGTGATCTGGGATCCCAGGAACGTGAAGTCTGTCACCACTTCCACGACTTCCCCTTCTATTTGCCAAGGAGTGATGGGGCCAGATGCCATGATCTTAGTTTTTTTGATGTTGAGCTTCAAGCCCACTTTACGGCTACAGTAAGGCTAACATATTTTCCGTTTATCAAAATACTTGATAAAAATGCCAGTCGGCTCTCAATGCTTCACGTTTCCATTTAAATGCCTGGCACAGTGACTCTCGTTCCTGGCATTTCCTTTGCCCTGAGCGAAAAAGGAATGTGGTTTCTGGTTCGTGACACGGGGGCCCATTTCTCAAGCCTCTAGGATCAACTGGATGATTAGGGATTGGTTGTAATTGCGTCGACATCAGTAGGTCGATACTACAACACTCTCAGTTTACATCCAGGACATTCCAACATTTCACCCAAATACCCTATAAGTTAATTCAAGAAATGCAACAAATGTAGGGATACCAGCTCGGGGCTGGGAAGTTCCTGATTTGGGGGGCAGGATATGGGGAAGGGCAGGACCTCGGCAGGGCATAATGCCATAGAGTCCACCACCACCCCGCCAAAGCAGCCATTTTCTCCAGGGGAACTTATCTTGGCTGCCTGGAGATCAACTGTAACTAGAGATGTGAAGGCCTGGAAAAAAAACGTGGTTTTTTTCTCCCCGTTTTTTCCTGAAGCCTTTTTTGCTTTTTTCCGAAAAATTGGAAAAATTGAAAAAAGAAAAGAAAAGGGGGGAAAATTGATTATGGAACGTTTTATTTTAACATGATGAATAAAATATTTTAGGACAAGGTGTCCTAATATTTTCCAAATCATTTCTAAAAAATATGTATGGTATCGGATTGATCTAATTTCTGTGCACTGAGGACAAGCAAGTCCTAGGTTACAAACTGAACTCTCCAATGCAAGAACAAGATGCATTTCTTCCTTTAGGAGATGCTATTGTCACCAGAAAAGAAAAAGGTTTCAGTTTTGTTTTTGCATGTGTAATAATTGTTTGGATACACTATATTTTTAATATGCTAGTTGTGATAATTTCATGCCAAGTAAAAATGTCCATAGTCATATTTTATGTTCCTAAAGTAACAGAATGACTTTCAATCTGGAAAAGAAAAAAAAAAGTGCTAACGTAGCAGGGACAAGTAAGTAGCATTTTTTTCAATTTTTCTGAAAATTTCCATTTTTCCCCGGAAAAAACCTGGGGAAAAACTGGGTTTTTTCCAAGCTCCAAAATTTCCGGAAATTTTACATCTCTAACTGTAACAGCAGGATCTATGATCATTTCAGTATGAAATATTAAAGATGCTTTCTTTCATATGATTCTTATCACAACAAACTGTTATTCATGGTTTATCATATGATTCATAAGATAGGATAAAATGTTAATATGAGAAAACGGTAGAATGTTGAGTAGGTTGTTATAGCGGTTTTTAAAGTTATAATGCCATATAATTTTCCTAAAAATTCAAAGATTTGAATGAAGGATTGTCCTTTATATTTGCAAAAAAATGCCCTTTATGCTATGTTTTGGTAATTTTACCTTTCATTTTACCTATGTTTCAATGTCTGTGAATCTTTTAATATTGGAAATTTTAATGGTTTCCATTGATTTTATGTTGTTGTTGTTGTTGTTCAGTCAGCACAGTCGAGTCTGACTCCTCATGACCCCATGGACCACATCACGCCAGGCCAAGGCTTGTTCTCACCAGGGGTCATTTCGTAGAAAAAGAGGTGCAGACGCTCATTAGCATAACACATTAGCATAACTTATTTTGCATATGCCACACTCCCTGACATCACCGGAAGTGTGTCAGAAGGCAACACCCACCGCTCAGGCTCCACTGGACTGTTTTGGATTGCTAGCTATTGGGGG